GGTTGTTGCTGGATTCAATTGGTCCGAAACGTCTTAGATGGCGTTGGGTCGGTAACCATAGCAACGCGTATCGGTGGTAGTGGACTCGAAATGTGATTGAGGGAATAAAAGGAAGCAAAAAAGGAGAAAGTGTTGGGTAGAAAAAGAACACCTTTAAAGTGACGATTTTACAATTTGACTTTTGAAAATAGATCACGCAGAGGAAGGAGTCTTGCACATTGGAATGAAGGGAATTGGGGGTGATGGAATCGATCAGTTCGGGGAATTCTATTCTATAGATCTTTTCTGGATCTTTGAGAACGAGGTTTTCAGAAGCGGATTCAGCATGATATATTCTTTTTATGGTGTGTTGGATATCGGTTGTGACACCTCCCTCACAATGGTTGTCGATTCGACGTCGTCCTTCCGTTGTGGCTGAAAATCCAGAAAAATTGAAATCTGTTAAATAAAAATGTTTTTTTTATTTCAATTTTTTATTGATCTTTAAATTATTTAATGGCATTTTGCGGTATGTTGCTACATTTTCAATAATACACGTGAAATAAACCACAACAAAAATATTCAAAACAAATATGGATTCAATGTTGTCCTTCTTCTGTTGTGCAATGAAAAATCTGGAAGAATTGAAATCGATTAAATAAAATATTTATTTTTTATTTTAATTTTTTATTGTTCCTTAAACTATTTAATGGTATTTTGTGTTATGTTGCTGCATTTTCAATAATAATGCACGTAGAATAAACCACAACAAAAAATATTCAAAACAAATAGGGATTCAATGTTGTCTTTTGCTGTGGCGAAAATTCCGGAAGAATCGAAATATATTAAATAAAATGTTTTTGTTTAATTTAAAATTTTTAATGTTCTTTAAATCATTTAACGGTATTTTGCGTTACACACAGAGTAAATCTCAGCAAAAAATTTTCACTTCAAATATGGATTCAGTGTTGCCCTCTTGTACAATGTGGGGCATAAAATCCCGAAGAATTGAAATCGATTAAATAAAATGTGTTTTTTTATTTTAATTTTTTATTGTTCTATAAATTATTTAATGCTATTTTGTATTATGTTGCTGCATTTTCAATAATACACGTAGAATAAACCACAACAAAAATATTCAAAACAAATATGGATTATATGGTGTCCTCCTGTTGTGGCGAAAAATCCGGAAGAATTGAAATCTGTTAAATAAAATGTTGTTATTTTTTAATTTTATTGATGTTTAAATTATTTAATGGTAATTATGTAGTTATGTAGCTGCGTTTTCGATATTACACGTAGAGTAAATCTCAACAAAAAAAAATTTCACAACAAATAGGGAATCAATGTTGTTCTCTGCTACAGAATGTGCCATAAAATTCCGAAGAATTGAAACTTTAAAATTTTTGCATTACTTCAAATTATTTAATTGTATTTTTGTGTTATGTCGCTGCGTTTTCAATAATACACATAGAGTAAATCTCAGCAAAACGTTTTTACAACAAATATGGATTCAATGTTGTTCTTTTGTACAGGGTGTGGCGAAAAATCCGGAAGAATTGAAATCTATGAGATAAAAATATTTTTATTTTATTTTTTTTATTGTTCTTGTAAATTATTTAATAATATTTTGTGTTATGTTGCTGCATTTTCAATAATCCACAGAGAGTAAATCTCAGCAAAAAGTTTCACAACCAATGTGGATTCAATATTGTCCTCTTGTTGTGGCGAAAAAATCCGGAAGTATTGAAATCTATTAAGTAAAATGTATTTGTTTATTTTAATTTTTTTAATGTTCTTTAAATTATTTAACGGTATTTTGTGTTACACACAGAGTAAATCTAAACAAAAAAAAAAAATTTCACAACAAATAGGCATTCAATGTTATCCTCTGGTACAGAATGTGCCATAAAATCCCGAAGAATTGAAACTTATAAAATAAAATAATATTTTAAAATTTTTATTGCATTACTTCAAATTATTTACTGAAATTTTGTGTTATGTTGCTACATTTTCAGTAATACACACAGAATAAACAAAACAAAAAAATATTCAAAACAAATATGGATGCAATGTTATCCTCCTGTTGTAGCGAAAATCCGGAAGAATTGAAATCTGTTATATAAAAGTTTTTTTATTTAATTTTTTTTATTGTTCTTAAATAATTGAATAATATTTTGTGTTATGTTGCTGCATTTTCAATAATAATACACATGGAGTAAATCTCAGCAAAAATTTTCACAGCAAATATGGATTCAATGGTGTCCTCTTGTACAATGTGGGGCATAAAATCCCAAAGAATTGATATCGATTAAATAAAACGTGTTTTTTATTTTAATTTTTACTGTTCTGTAAATTATTAAATGCTATTTTGTGTTATCTTGCTGCATTTTCAATAATACAAGTAGAATAAACCCCAACAAAAAAATTTCACCACAAATATGGATTCAATGGTGTCCTCTTGTACAGGGTGGGGCGTAAAATTCCTGAAGAATTGAAACTTATAAAAAATTTTTTTTTTAAATTTTTATTGCATTACTTTAATTTATTTAATGGCCTTTTGTTTAAGATGTAGAATTTTTATTGCTTATAAATTAAATCATAGCAAAAATATTTACAATGAATGTTCTCTTGTACTAGGCGTGGAAAATCCGAATGGAAATTTATAAAATAAAATGTAAATAATTTATTATTGTTTATTGTTCTTTAAATTATTTAATGATATTTTATGTATGCTGCCACATTTATGTAAATGTGGCAGCATTACATACATTATGATGTTGATTTAGTCTATTAAATCACAACAAAAAATTTAAACAACAAATATGGATTCAATGTTATCCTGTACAGGGTGTGGCATAAAATGTATTGAAATTTATGAAATTTTTTAAAATTTTATTCTATTAATTTAAATATAAGGTGGTGCTTTATGTAAGGTGGTGCATAAGGTACCTATAGAATAAATCACAACAAAAACATTTTTTGCATAAAACTATTGGCCAAAAAATAAAAAATATTTTATTTATATTTCCATTTGCATGATTTTGCTTATAATTTTTTTTTTTTTTAAATTCAGAAAAAAACACCGCTACATTTAAAAATAAAATACAATGTTCATCTAAAATAATGATTTCTTGCCAAAATTTATTTCTCATAACAGAATTTAAGACACAAATATGTAAATATGGAAATCATATTGATTATCAGAAGCTATTCTTAAGAAGAAGGATGTTATAATACTTTAAATAAATTTTATTTGTTTAAAAAAAAAAAACGGTTTTTACATGACATGCTTGTATTCATTAATCTTGTTACTTTTCAAGTTTTTAATTTTAAAATTATTTCTAAAATAAAATCTTTAAAGTAATCACAACTTTAATTTTTTAAATTTCATTTAATGCATTCAAATTTTAATGAAAGGCTTGCAACTATCCATAAATCTTCATTTAACATCAAATAATCTCTATTAAATGTAAATATTTATTCAAGTTCACTTGTAATAAAAGCAAATACCATATACTCATAAAAGTAGGAAGGACAAAAAAAAAGAAAATTAGCCATGTTAAAATATTAGTTTCGCTAACCATACAATCTAATTTAGACGATTAAAGTTGTTGTTAGTAAACAGGGCATATATGAAAAGTAAACAATGAAATAATTTTTGTAAGACTAAAAAATCATTTAATTTTTTTTTTTAATCTTTTCACAGTAAAAGAGTATAAGATATAAAGATATTTTTAATTTATTTTGCTTTTTCATATAGCTGGAGAATGCTATATTTCAATAAATTGCATTAAAAATATAAAGATTTCTGAAGCAGAATCTTCGAATTCTGAAGTCCATTACACTTGTGTCATTTGTAGAAACAAAGTTCTCCTTTCTAAGTTTAGTGAATTCAACATGTTTCATGTGATAGGAATAATGGGCTTTTACTTTCTTTGCACATTTTGAGATAGTAGTGTATTTTCATCATTCCTTTGCCTCTAAATTATTTTATGTTGTTTTATTATTTTCTTTTTTGTAATTTTATTTATTATTTATATTATTTTATTATTTCTTTTTTTTTTTTTTTTTTTTTCACTCTGTCTTATTATATTGTATGCAAAAATTTTGCGCCTGTTACTTCCGATTGAAATCCTCGTGTTGTACGTGTGTGGTGCACGAGAATACTGAATGAGATTAAATAAATAAATAATTAATTCAGGGGTGGCCAACCGAAATGATGTTGCTGGCCATTTTGGAAATGCAACATCACTCCACGGGCCACATATAAAATTATATATCCCCACAATAGATTTAGACCCACTATCGGCATTTTTTGGAGTGAAACATTGAAACATGATGCGTTATTATTTTTGTGTTTACTATTATTCTCACGTGTAAACATAGATAATAGAATAATAATGATACCAAACGCACATTGCAGAAATATATAACACTAACAATGAAATATAAAAAAATATATAAATATAAACGAAATAAAAAAAGTGAAATCATTAAAAAATATTTATTTTGCTAGTGCTGTATTTGTTTCTCCGCTCTTACACTTAGCTTTTTGCAAATCGATCTCCATTTGGGTATTGGTACATCGTAATGGGCGTTGCAGATTAACGTCCGTTATGTTTGAGTATCAGATTTCTCAAAAGTGATACATAGAACCTGTTATAGTAGATGTTCCAAGATGCGCGCGATTCATGAGTTCGCAGAATATAATTTAATTATTCTGCGAACTCATAACTGTAAACTCTTAAATAGAGCATGCAATATCTGTCCTATATAAATTAATTTTTCTCATCTTTTCGACAGTTCATTTTTTGAATATATTGATGCAGAAATAATGTATTTTCTTAATACATTGATTTTTCACTACTTTGGCCATTATAAAATAAATATATTTTGTAAAAATGTGATATATCTCACGGTCAGGAAAAACATTCAAGTATGTAGCCGCTGTTGGCCACCCCTAAAATAGAGTATAAGACTTGTTAAATTGTCTTTAACATACACATATTCCTTTAGCCAACGGCCATACCATGCTGAATATACCGGTTCTCGTTAGATCACCGAAGTCAAGCATCATTGGGCGCGGTCAGTACTTGGGTGGGTGACCACCTGGGAACACCGCGTGTATTCACAAATTTGGGACCTGAATGGCCGAGTGTCTAGCGCTCTGGCGCTCGGGGCCTCAGGTTTCGGGTTTGAATCCCGGAGGTGCCATGGATGTTTGTAGTGGTTCGGAATCCACTTCAAGCCGTAGGTCCCGGTCTCCTATGACTGTAAGAGCGTCATGGAGCCAAAGTCAGACTTCTACCTACGCGTGCTCCAACACAACAGAAAGCTGCTTCCTCCCCTTCAGTCATGAATACGTATGGGTCTCGTGGGCTTGGCCAGCCAAGTGGGATAAGAAACAACAACAACAACATATTCCCTTTGCAAATATTAAAACTTCGATATTGGATATGCGTATTTTTATAAATACGGTGCAGATGTATGCGAATGTCTGGCAGTTTAATGCATCCTTTTTGGTCTGTTTCTATTATTTGCAATACCATAAAAAAAAAAAAAATCAGAAATGGGAATTCTTCTACAAAACATAAATTTCTTATTATCGTCCACTTGATGAAAAAAAAAAAAAAAAAAAAAATTCATTCCTGTGATTCTACAGAGCAATTAAATTCACTCAAATTGCGTCATAATTTTATTTATTTTTTTTTTTAATGTTGGTACAAAGAGATGGATCCTCAGAAAAAAAAAGACGTTGAAGTGAAGAAGTCTTGGATGGGGGTGGGAGAAGGGGATGAAGCGGAGGAGAAAAATCGTTCGAAAGGCAGAGGCATCGAATATGGGAATGAACTCGCGAACAATTTATTTTCATTCAACTCCGCTAGGCATGGTCGTCAACACTTGTATCGTTTCGTAGATTATGTAAATACTGAGGCCGACGAAAAGAAAGAAAACATCAAATCTGTGCGTCCACCCCCACCCCCTCCCTCCGTCGCCATGGCAACATATTTCATGCTCCGGGAGTCACATAAAGGCGGCAGAGAGCAATCCAGACCCTACCCCGTAACCCTTGTACAAATATGCAAAAAAGGAATTGCTCGATGCATATTTAACAAGGCATAGGAGTGGAAGACGATTTCTTAGGGAGTCACTCGAATGGTGGGGGGTGGAGGGGAGGGGATTGGGAGGGGGGATAATGCCTCAAATAAAGGCGGGAAAAAGTGTAGAAAAGTTGCCTAAGAAAGACGGGAAAGGAAAAAAGTGGTGCACACACACTTTTAGCTTTCTTGCGCTGCGTCGCTTGCTACTTTGTCTACTGGAAAGAGATTAATTTTTAATTTTTTTTTTCTCACCAGCCTCTTTTATTTTTTTCTTTATTTTTTTTTTTTTATGTGTGTGTGGCTGTGGCAGCCACACTTTCTAGCCTTTTTTTTTTTTTTTCGTTTTATCAGTTGTAACCTACTCCTCTGAAATGTACTTCATTCTAATGTCGGTGTAAAAAAAGTGCAGGGCAATTAATCCGTGTTCCAAAGGAAATTCTATATATATATATTTTTCTTCTAGTTTTCCTAGTTTTATTCTTCTGTTTTTGTAATGCAATTTTTTATCTTATACTACTGTAGGTGGTTATAGAGTTTGAAGTGATAAATAATGAAATTATGTTTTCCAATTTTTTTTTTTTTCTTTGGGAGATAGATTTGTATTTTTTATCACACTGTAAAACTATATGAAAGTAACAAAAAAAAAAAAAAAAAATGGAAATCCTGCAGAGATGAAACTCCACGATAAAAATATCTCAATCCTAACACATTTTAGATAGATGGCAAGAATTTACATTTAATGCTGCAAAGATGCATATTTGCATGGAGTAAATTATCAAGAGTTAGTCAGAACTTACGGTATAGGGATTCATTTCTTAGGTCAGCAATGCGTTAATATTCACAGCTTTCTTCCTTAATTTAAATTAGTAATATGTGCGTCGTTAAAAGTGTTTGAATGATTATTTTTATTATAATAAAAGTTAATTTTGGATCCTCGTCTAGACGTGATGCAATAAAACTTGCTGGTGAACTTATAATAGAGAACGTAAGACCAGGGATGGAAGTGGGTTTCCCCCCCTTGAGACCAAAAAAAAAAAGGCTGATATTTTTTTAAATTGAGATTTAAACTGACTGTTCTATTTTAAAATAAGCAGAGAATTCAAATTATGAATATACTATTTTAAAGCTACCGTGGATAATATTTTTGCCATTTTTTTTATTACTATTGTTGTTATTATTCTCGTGCTAGAAAAAATTGCAAAACTTATACAAAGCAAATGTAAAAGGTCGATAAAGGTTTAATTCATTGTATTCAATTTTCAAAATTTCACACATAAAAATTTTTTAATTGCATACGGTCTAAAAATTTTTCAAACATAATAAAAAATTTACTTTTAAATTTATGCATTAATTTTTTTTTCCTTTTATTGAGCCAATAAATGCATTCTATTTTTTTTCAACCTAACAAAAAATTTCAAAACGTGATTTTGCTTTGAATTTTTTTTTTTAAAAAACATGTTGAAACAAAACATATTTTCAACATGTTTTGTTTCTATACTATTTTACACTTTAACAACGATTTTTTTTAAATAATTTTTCAGCTATTATATTTTCTTAAATAATAGCGTTATTTTATTTATAATTTCAACCAAAGTGTTTCAATGTAAAAAAATCCTATTTATTTGAAGATTTTTTTATACCGAAAAGTTAAAATTTCATAATAACTTTATTTATATTTTTTATTTTCTCACTCCATAAAGCCCACTTTCAATGAATTTTCTCTCCATAACACATAATTCAACCGGATCCGTTGATTTGTAAACGAATCCGGATTGCTATTAAAACACAAGCAGACGCAGGCTTAATAGCCAATCAGGGCCCGGAGCCAGCACTCCGCCCAGCAGATCAATAACGCCATTAAGTGCGTGAGCCATTTAGACGCTGCTCCTAGCACGTGTCACTAGTTGTCATGACAACACGATATATGCTTTCAATAGACTCTAAGGGTTATAGTATGTTAATTGATAGTTGCGTTACATATCCGCACCTGTGATTTACCACACATTGTTTACTCTGTGCGCGCACGCACCTCATTACCATTGTGCGGTTCTGATTGAGTTAGTTTTCAGGGATATTTGATTGAGCGTCTACTAACAGGATTAGAGAGTTGATGTCTATCGCTTTATGAAAATGTGTGTTTGCCCGGCCAGTTGAATATAAAGCTTTGATAATTAACGAACGAAATATCGAATTGCATTTGTCAAACGTTGACTTTAAGGTTACATTTAATATAAAAAAAAAACATTTCAGACAATGGATGCTGGGAAAGTCATCGAGTTTTTTATAACTGTTTGTTTTTAGTGAGAATTTTCATGACATCTTTAAACGAACAGATTCGAACTTAAATTCTTTAATTTATACTACTAGATTGGATAGGAGAGTCGAATACCGCGAATGCATAGCAGACATATATAAACACAGATGTAATGGAAATAAATGGAAAATACAGATATATAACAACAAAAATAAAAAAGCTTTAAGGAAACAGATATTTATGAAGCAACATTTGAAACTGAAGATCGGAAGGAAAGTTTGATCATGCAGGGTAGAGTTGGATGTTTTCAGAAATGGAATTTTTTTCTTTTAACACTGTTCCGCAGTACTCACTGCCAAGGCAGTGGAGAGGACGATGGGATATTTCCTAGAACTGGAGTGTAGTATTGCAGATGGGTCATAGAAAAAATGAGGGAGGCTTGAGGTCATGATTCCAACCTGTAGTGTAATATGGATAATGGTATTTACCTTCGTTGTGGGCGAAGAAGAGTTGAGCTTTAATTAAATTATTTTCCTTGTTCTTGATATTTAAAAACAACTTTCTTCAAACTTCGCAGTAGGATCGTCTATTGATTCTATTTGTAGCTCATGATGCAGCACGTCATTTCGAATGAACCAAGGAGCTCCCGTCATTATTCTAAAATTTTTATATTGGTTAACTTGGATTTCGGTTCTGTTTGTTTTTGCAGCAAGGTCCCAGATGGGTGCTGCATAAGTCAGGATGGGTCTGAGGACTTGTTTGTATAAAAGGAGTTTATTTTGTAAAGATAAAGTAGAATATTTCCTTTTTAACGACAAGCTAAGATGTAATTTGTTCCAGCATTTTTGTCCTTAAAGTGTAGAGATGTTTCTGGAATTTTAATTTGCTGTCGAGAATTAGGCCAAGATATTTGACCCATTCTATCTGATCGTCAAGCAGGAAAATATCTTCATATGGAGACCTAGCATGGCTTTTTCTGAAAATAAAAGCTTTGCTTTTGTTTGTATTGACAGCGATTCTCCATAGCGTAAGCCACTCTTCCAGGGTGTCAAGAAAGTTTTGAAGAGTTCTTTTCGCGAATCTGATAGTAGTACCCTGAACCAGGGCTGCTGAGCTTTAATTTGTACTGCTTCGGCACAGTTTAATGCTAAAGAAAGTTGAATACATGTTTTCTATAAGAAATTACTTAATATTCAATGAAATAAGCTTATTTATAATAAATTATTTGTGAAATAATTAAATAAATTACATAAAAATTTATTTTTAGACTTATGTACAATAAATTTAAGTGTAAAAATTAAGGAACGAAGCTGTATTGTTAAACACATTACTTACACTTTCTGCGATACATTTCTGATAATAATGATAATAATAATACCACTCTAAGTGTACGTGCAAAGAACACAGACAAAAAAAAATAGCGAATAGGAAAATGTGAAACTTTTATAAAAACATCTGGATTCTTTTTATGCTGAATTATAATCTGTCGTTATCTTTTAGTTTGTTGCACGAAAGTCAATTCATATAAATTTTTATCTCTATTTTTTGCGAAAAGATAATTTTTTATCATTACCCTTTCGCAAAAAAAATAGACAAATAATATGGCAGGAACAAAAACATTTTCAACTTCCGAATATTAAAAACTTCGTAGTAGTGGTTTTCGAATGCCAGGCACAATATCTGAAATTATTTGACACTAGACAGGTAAATACGTAGCAGATTCAGTGATATACAGGATGCAACTAGGGGCACCTTTTTAAATAAACACCC